AATGTTGCAAACAAATAATAAATGGCCAAATTGGCCCCAAAATATATGTAAATACTTCCAAAGACACATAAAACGTTCAACGAATAAAGGTAACATTGTGAAATATAATTCAGCCGAATGTCAGAAAATGAACAGAGAATGCTGCCTTATTACTTCACCTGTTTATTGCGCCATGATATCAAGCCAATAAAACATTCAACAAAAAACGTATATATATATACGTACATACATTAAACTGAGCCCGAATCATGGCATCCGTGATCGAATTAAACAGAAATAAAAGTGGTAAGCAGTGCGAGCTTCCACTCCACAGCACCTGGGTTCAAGCCCTGGTCAAAGCAACATCGCAAAAAAAATATAGAAAAAAAGGTCTTTTCTTAACAGCGGTCGTCCCTCGGCAGGCAATGGCAAACCTCCGAGTGTATTTCTGCCATGAAAAACAGCTGCTCATAAAAATACAATCGCCGTTCGGAGTCGGCGTAAAACTGTAGGTCCCTCCGCTTTGTGTGACAACATCAAGGCGCACGCCACAAATCAGAGGAGAAGCTCGCCAAACACTAACATATGTGTAAGCGCCAATCTATTATTATTATTATTATTAAAAGAATATTAACAGGAAATCGACACCTGAGTGGAAGCTCGACCTATTTCGGCAGCCTGTTCCAAAACGGTATATTTCAGAAAACTTTTTCATGAACGCCTAATTTCAGAATGTGGTTAAAGAATTCCATATCTCAGAATTTTATTGAACAACGCTCTATCTCAAAATTCGGTTTGAAAACGTCCTATCTCAGGACATTTTCAATATATTTCCATTTGAGATAGGGCGTTTTTCAACCGAACTCTGAAATAGACCGTTCTTAAACCAAATTCTAGGCCTTTTTCAAAAAAATTTTGAAATAGGGCGTTCTTGAAAAGTTTTCTGAGTTAGGACATTTTCTAACTGGCTGCCGATATAGGTCGATCTTCCACTCAGGTGTCGAAATATAACTACTATTTTCATACTACAAAAATATGTAGAACAAGCGTATAAAAATTAATAAATGTGAAGTAAATATATATCGTCACCCGTATTCCAGAAGCATGAATGTGCAAATTTACCAATTTTGAGTTATTGGGTTGACTTGATTAACCTTTGGATTTTCTATGTTATACCAAACCCCAGAATAAAATGCGTACACGGAAAACACATATTTCACAATGTCAATTACATGAATGCAGAGTTAAGCCTCGTAAAAAAAAAATTCAAACTTGAATTCCCAAAAATTTTCATTTTTACAAATTCATGTTTCTGGCATGTGAGAGACAATATGTACTTGTCGATTTGTTTCACAAAAATTACACAGGTTTACAAAAAAAAGCTTATACATATTGAACCAAACCTTTACATCCCTATGTTATTCGACACCCTGTATGCGAATCCGAGGTCTATTAGCCTCCATCACGTCAGGTTCGAGGTCATTTGAAGGTCAAGTAGGGAGAAAGTTAATGAATAAACCTGAAAATTCAATACAATTCTTCTGAATATGACCTTGGCGTGACCGGTAGATTAAAGAATCAAGGGACCCCTATATTCAGATTCAGCGACAACAAAAACACAATTTTGTTTTTATTTTTATTGAATAAATTTTTTGTCTTATTTGGCCCTCAAATTACATCGAACCTGACATTATAGAGGTTCAGTGAGTTTAAAACCCCATATATATATGAATTTTTAGGTTTATTCAATTAGTTTTTCCCTACTTGACCTTCCAATGACCTCGCACCTGGCACGATGGGGCTAACATACGTCGGATTCGCATTCAGAGCGTCGAATAACATGGGGATATTGACGTTTGGTTCAATATGCAGAAACTTTTTTTTTGTAAACCTGTGTTTCTCGGTTGCTCAGCAAACCTGGTTAATCGTTTCTACAATTATTTCACACTGATTCTCTTAAACATTTCTTCTCTTAAACTTTTAAGATGATGGAACCCTTACTAACCATATTTCATTTTGTAGAACCCCACATCAAATTACTAAAAATCAAAGGCAGAGCAATTTAAATATGAATAAAAACTTTTACTAGAAATAGTATACATACTTTAAATTTTAATGTGAAGAATGAAATTGTTTCACTGTTAGTAATTATTGTATAAATTAGTAGTTCGATATAATGTCTGAAAGCTGTATGCTTAAGATACATAAACCTAAAAGTAAATTTTACAAGAAATTAAACTGATAATTTATTAAAACTAGTAGTAACCCCCGAAATTCGGGTGAATGCAGTAAAAAAATACTTAATAATATTAAGAATTTAAATTTAAGTATATAATAAAACGTGATATTCATAAATATACTTAAGTGTTTAGCCTAAGATATATTTAAAGAACTTCGTGAAAGACAATAATTAATCTCGTATTGCTAGAGACCTGATAACCCAGGATAATTTTTAAGTTCTTAAATGACCTTACTCTACTCAAAGCTTCGTACAGTGGGCCGTGAGAAAACAGTCATCTTTAAGGTTTAGTCCAACCTTTCACAATACCTGTCGCGCCGTTTATGGCGAAAGGCATTTAATATAAAACTTTTAAACTAAAGTTTTCATAACCCTTTATGCACAAAAATTCAACCACTGATTATAAAAATTTTAAAATGTCCATACCGGCTAATTTCATTTCAAAAATCACATCAACAAATTTGTAAAGCTTTGAACTTTGCCGTCATTCAGGGTCCTCTATAATATATATAAAAGAAAGTTCTCTCAACTAATTTTATCTGTTGCTTTCGTAAAATATATCAAATAAAACACATATTTGAGTTAAACTTTTCGAGTGAAGAAAGTTGAACTAGAAACACAAAATTTATGATATCAATTTCGTGACGAAAATTATACGCATTTTTTAACTGCCTTGGAAACGTAGGGAAAACCTCTTTTATTCATACGAATCGTTGCAAAAATTCTGTTTTTTATTTTGTGTTTCTAGCAGTAGACGGAATTTCACAACGTTCCGAATAAATAAAAAAAGATTTTCCGTACGTTTCAAAGGCAGTTAAAAAATGCGTATAATTTTCGTCACGAAATTGATATCATAAATTTTGTGTTTCGAGTTCTGCTTTCGTCACTCGAAAATATTACCTCAAAGTGGTGTTTTATTTGATATCAGTTATTTTGGGATAGCAAATTTAAAATCGACGAAAATACAAACAATTATCTAAATGTTATATTTTTCTCAAATAAATTGCTAAAAATATTATCTAAATCTAAATTATGTATTCAAATCGATGGGTCCCTTGAAACATATAATTTTTCGAATACGAAATAAAGCGAAAAAGAATGATCATATCCTTTATATTCGAAAAAATAAAAAACAAAAAATTAAATTATGAGAAATGATATAAACTTATCAACTTGGTACCAACTTTGGGTACAAGAAACAACTGTACAACTATAGGTAATATTGTATGCGTCTTCCCAGGTAGGTCAAGTGCGGGTGATAAACCCATGTAGCTAGCATGTGTACATACCTGCAATTAAAATGGGGAAAAATGTTATAATTTCGGTATGTGACTGAAAAAAACTCTAAAATACACAAAAATTATGGTTTCCAAGACACGTACGAAGTGGTTAGCACAGCTGCGTCCTTCAACTTGTCAACTCGCGGGAAATTCCCCGATTTGCAGGGCAATTTCGGTTTCACTGGCATTCGGGGAATGGGCAATTTTTTCGGGGAACTGGCTATGTTATTTTTATATCTTAAAGTAACCAGACGAATATGTTAATTTTTAACCTTTTGACCCTTTTTGGAGCAACATTTTTTTAAATTAGAATCGCAATATCTCCACAACAAGAGTTTTCCCAGATACAAGCTATATACCAGATGAAAGCTAAGGTTTTGGGCTAGATTTATGGTAACTTAGAATAAAATCGACTGACCAGTTTTTGAGAAAATGTTCGAAATATATATTTTCGATATCGTTATGACATATTTATACTTTATAAACACAAAAGAAAGCGTTAGATAGCCCTTCCATTGATATCATGTTAATTTTCGTTCTGAAATCGGTTTGTCTCCAAACCAAATTTGACAAGGGATGACGGAAAATTGTTAAACATTACATCACACTCCTACCCTGTCGGAAATACCTACAACGAAAATGAGGCCGTTATAGAAAGTTGAAACGACGATATTTGATACCTGCGCCGGGTATATAAAGATCGGCTTCGCCCGAACTTATACATCTTTACTTGTTTAAGCTAATCTGTTTTGTCATCTGAGGGGATTTAAAAAAAAAAATCTTTAACTATTTTTATTCTTAAAAAACTCTAATTTTGGAGGTATTTTCAAATCGGTCCAGCTAACCGCAACTTTTGTTGGTGTTGCAGTCTAATATATATATCGAGCCCTAATGCCAAAATAAAGTAAGCGACATTTTTTTTTAATACATTATTTTGTTTTGGCGGTTAGGGCTCGATATGTACATATTTTTCGATCCAATCATTTTCTTATTTTCTGATTTGTGCTTCAGCTTCCCGCGAGCAGGCGAGGGTAATAAAAAACCGTGCATAAAATGGAATAAAAAATGTAAAAACGGTTCTAAGTATTAATTTTTTACGTATAAATATTAAAAAGAACAAAGCAAAAACTTGCAGTTCATTAAAGAAATGTTCAATTTATTACTTAGTTTTTTTTTTGCTTTTTAAATTGATGCAGTAGTTTTAAATATATTTCCGTTAGAAGATAAAATTAGTCTATTTCTGAGGGGCTTGGCTTATTGTCACGACCTATAAAAGAGGCTTACGTTGGAGAGGAGGCTTGCGAAAACCGAAACAAAATCGGTTCAGGTTTAGCTTATCTGTGAGGGAATGTACATATTTTTAAGGTTTATTTTATAAGATATATTTAGGGACGAATATACATATTTTTAGGTTTTATTTTATAAGATATAGGGAGATAGGATAGGGATAAAGATGTACACTTAAATATCTCTAACACTTAAATAAATATTTATCATTTCAGATGGCTCGATATAAGCAGACTAGTTTTCCCGAAGATGATGCTAGCTCAGTCGGAGGCATCCATTTAAATGAGGGGACCGGTAGCACGGGACTGCATATTCGATATCACACAGCACGGGTGGGTACTTACAAAGACAATTCCTTACTTACTCGCAATCGTTCTGCCATTCAACAAAACAGTTTGTGTTTGCATCAGGGTAGCCAAATCATTTTTGAGAATTCCCCGATTTCGATAATGAAATTTCTCGATTTTGCCCAAATTTCGTAAAATTCCCCACCCATAGATATCTCCTTATTAAAAAAAATTGATGTATTTTGATGCATTGCTGGTATTTCTGTTTACTTTATTTTTAAATGTGTATAATTCATCTATTTATTCATAAACCACACCAAACTTTTATTAAGTTTGTTAACAAATAAAGAATAAAAAAAAAATATTCATATAATATTTACATATGTACATACGCGGTTCACAATTATTATTTTTTTGTTATTTAATTTGACTTATTTTTATAAAAATATAGTTCATTCTTTGACAAAATGATTTAAGCGGATCAAACTTTGTGCAATATTAAAAAAAAATCAACAAACTTTCGTAAAAATTTCGAGCTTTTTAATTAGATTTTCTAGAAAAATTTTGAGTATCCATTTTTATAGCCCACTCAATTCTAGTATAAAAAGTGGAAGTTTCAAGAACCTAAAAATTGTCGTATTAGAATTTTTTTGCCGAAGGTGTTGCGGTTTTCTTCCACATAAAATAAATTGTGTTTATTCGTTATATGAAAGCCATTTTAGCCATTTGAAACTTTATTATACAAGAATTGAACGAGCTAAAAAACTGCATATCGCTAGCTTAGAGTGAAAAGTTGCTAAGTCCACTTTTTATGAAAACTCATATTTTGATATAGGAGGCTAGGGAAATTGAATACGCATCGTTTCGAAAATTATAAAGGTACTTATTTTATTTTTTTCCTCTTCATAAGCAATAAAAGGAAAATTTGCTAAGTCCCAAAGAAGCACCACAAATCCGATAAGGCCAAAATAATACGACATCTTTTAATAAATATCGAATCCTTCTGATTCTTATGGACTTTTGCTTTGCTATAAACGCGCAAAATGTTTGATTTAAAGTCTTAAGAAATAGTTAAAGAAAATGGCTATAGGAAGATTTTTTCCTCTCCTGTAATATTTTTAAAATGGGACTTAGCAACTTTTCTTTCTAAGCTAGCGATATGGCTCATTCCACGGTGACTGGTGAGACATTTCAACTTATATTTTTGTTTAAATCATTAAATTTGTGAAGCAAAAAATAAAAATTATGTACACCTAATTCCTCACAAAAAACAGTTCGTTCCCCGCCCCCCATGTAAACTGAAATTCCCCACAAAAAAACGGTTATTTCCCCGATTCCCCACACAAACTGAGATTACCCGCAAAACGGGTAATTCCCCACGAGTTGGCTTCACTGGTTTGCACCAGAGTGTCCAGATTGGACGATTTAGCGCCAATGTGGCTTTTATATTTGCGCGTAAAAATCTAGGAAATCGCCTTTGGCGAAACACGTGATAAGTAGGTTATGGAGTTAGAGCTTTAATTTTAATGTGGCGATACTTTTTATTGTTACCGATTTTGTTGTAGCTTTTCGAACATTTGCCAATATTAAACCACCATTTGTGGCAACTCCCGCTGAATGTGAAATTTGCAATTTCATTTGTGGAAATAGCTGATCTCGCCTTATTATAGCTTTTATTTTATTTTTAGCGCCGAGCGCTTAAAAGCGGATTAATCAATTATCAGTTATAATAAATTTATTAATTGCACAGTCCTACTGGGAAATGTGTTGATACAAATATTTTTTAAAAGTATGAATATTTAAAAAAAAAATGTTTGTACATCACTCTCATATAAGTTATTTGCGTTATTTATTATTACCCTAAGGCATTATATTCGATTTGGTTTTAAAGACTATGATATAAAAAGATCTCATTTTTAAAATAAAAGATTCTTCAGAAATGGCTCATCTTTTTAAATAATCTGGACACCCTGGTTTGCACACAAATGAAAAATGGAACGAAACAATTGTATAACAGAAATCTTATACGAGAAAAGTTGATTGATCGCAACTCTAATAACTACTTTTAATGTATTTAAATTATGTTGAGATTAGCATCAATAATTTTTCAATCGGTTAAGTAGTTGCCGAGATATTAAACACATAAGAAATAGAAAAGTTCAACTTTACCCTCTTTTATTGGCTTTGGTTTTTATTTGCACCGAATAATTTTGGTTTGGTTAAAATCAGCGTAGAAAGTTCTATTGATCCTCGTTTCCTGTTTTTTTTACAGCTAAACGGTTGGTATTCTAAACTTATGTGTGTGGTTAAATGCTGTAGTACGGGAACAAACTAAATGAGAATAGGATAAAAGTAAACAAAAAAATTTCAAATTAAACTCCGAGTTTCTTAAACACCCCAATGTGAACACTTAACAGTTGCTCATAAACTCGAGTTAATGGCTCAATGAGAACGTAACATAAGATAGGTCGTGTCAGCTGACACGTCGGTGGCTGGTTGAGCTCTTAGTTTCGGGTACGAAAATGGGTTTTTGCGTTCCCGGGGTTTTGGGTAGTTTATTCACATTTATGAGAGTATTTCGTACTTAGCTAGATATATAGTTGAATAAAGCACTGCGAGGGGTAGTATATCGTGCCTCAGCTCATCACAGTACCTCACCTAGCCCTAGACACTAGAAACTTCAGAACTGATCCCTGGCGTAAAGAATGTATGTGGTGCTCTCTTGGCCATGAATCTCGTACTTACTCTCGTTTGCCCGAAAATGTAAAAAACAAACCTAATGTTAGGCAAGAGGGTAGATAAAATTACGTACACAATTAGGGGATTCACGAGACGTGTTAACCATCGTAAAATCTTAAGCTTAACATTTGTTTATGTAAAAAACGGCTAAAATGGTTTTAGGAGGAGGAAGAGGGGCCAATTATATAAATATTTTTTATCAGTTTAAAAACATTTCGGTTTATTTAGAAAGCCTCTAAAACCATTTCAATACCTTTTTTACATACAAAAATGTTAAGCTTAAGATTTTACGACGCTTACATGTCTTATGAATCCCCTAAATATGTGTAATAAACGACATCAATTTCAGTGCTGTATTTTTGGTAAATTTCTATTAAAAAAAATAAAAAACAATGTAAAATTAGGCCATAAACAACAAAAAACAAATAACTTAAGGACGAGCACACCTAAAGTTAAATATTCTTAAAATAGAATATGTATTAACAAAAAACCAACAACAACCACATGATCAAATTTAAAAAGCAGCAGAATAGCTGCCCTTGATTGTTGTTGGGGTCACATTTGAAAAAGTGGAAAAAGCAACAATAGTTTACGTGGCGAACTTAGCTCAGTCTGTAGACCATTGGCTTTGTACCCGGAGGTTGCTGGTTGATATCCCAGTCTCGGGGCTTGTAGAAGTCTGACAAGGAGATGTAGTGATTTCCGAAATAGCAGCTTTAACTTTACTGTCGTTTTTCCACAAAAATTTTCATTAATAACAGGAGAGGAGACCGTGGGAGATCGACCTTCGCCGATCTGATGACTCAATGAGACATATTTTATATCAAATATAATTTATAAACAAATATGCCTATGATAACTTGCCTACCGAAAAGTGTTCATAGCTATTTTTAATCTAATTAATTTTAATCAATATCCTTTCATCACCTTCACTCTTGTCATAACCGAATGAGTTTTATCTCAATGGATAGTTTTTAACACACAGAATGCCTACTTATTTCTGTGCATGGCTACCTGTCAAGTAGATGTGAACAGGTAAGTCAATATAGATAACTACATCGATCTGTTAAGCAATCGAAATTGATATCATAGGTAAGCAATTTTAATTACAAAGCCAATAATATAGCCTTGCCTGCAAAAAATCATACATAAAATATTATTGCCAAGCTATAAAGTTTTAGAATTTTAGCTATTTGATAGGTGCGAGAGAGAAAGTAGAGCGCCCGAGGTCCGTGTGATAGAACAGGACACAACATAGCAGCTGCACGCTACCTGACCGTTGAGTGTATCCGAGTGCGCATGCTCGTGTATAGTCGAAAATAATTTATTAGTGATAACAAGTGCTAAATAATATTAATTGTGATTTTAAAAATGCGTAAAAAGTGTTTTTTTGTGGTACGAAAAAAGAAATTATTGACTTTCATGAAAATTCATTTAAAAGATGCCATTTAAAATTGGCTTTCCCTAAATAACAAAACTTTAAGTATGGAGATATTCAATTAAGCAAAGAATCGTTCGACTTTGTTGGTTATCACTCCACGTGTTACAACAAAGTTACAGTTTTAAAACAAAAATACAAAGAAGAATTTGAAAATTTCGTAAAAATTATGAAGTAAGTAAACGTTTCTGTTTATACTTATTAAAAATTTACAATTGGCTATTTTTTCCATATCGATTTTTGCTTTAAAATCAAAGCCGTACATTCAATTTCAAATATGCCATTCTTGTAAATTTAAACTTATCTTTTATTTAAATTTTTCTGAATATTTTAAAATTCAAATAATTTTTGTAGCTATAAATTTGAATTTTGTGAAAGTTATGTCCATTAATTGAAAAACTTAATATAAATATACATTTTAACAATGAGTAAATTTCCTTAAATTATGTGAATTGATTTAATAACATTGAAATTTTCATTATCATTATATAACTATTTTTATAAAATTTTTGTAGCTCCCAATGACCTCAAGAAGTCTTAATTCTAGTGATAATGAACCTCCAGAGACAACAGCTCTTGAAGATGATGAAAATAATACAGAAAATGTTGCAAATTCTGAGGATTTGTACGAGGTAATGATTAATTATTTGCTACTGAATCATTTAAATATATTTGAAGAACAGTATTAGATAGCACTTATAATATAAATTACTCTATCTATGTTATATATTTTACTTTTGCTGCATTTATATATTTTTTTCAATTGATAATAAATTTCTTGAACATCTTATAACCGTAAACTAGAAACTTAAAAGTTTTCTATTCATTTCAGATGCCGTCAACTTCAACATCATCTACATCTGCTGGC